ACAGAGGCAGCCTGGCTCCGGGGCTCTGCACTCAGCAGCTGCTGGGGTGAGGGGGCAGCCGGCCCTGGGACAGAGTGTCCTCTCTAATGAAGTTCCCAGGATCCCTCAGAGGACAAACATCCAGCCCTGCTCCCAGGATCACCCGCCTCTGTCTGAAAAGGAGCCCAGCTGAGACAGGGCTGGAGGAAAGCCTTCAGTCACATTCCCAGCCCTGGACCGGGCTCAAGATCCCTAGGGAACAGACCACAACCCCTTTGAAAGTTTAAATACTTTTGTCTGATAGTTTCCAAATTTAAAAAGACACACACATAATTAAACACTGCCCACAGTGATGGCCACCTTTATTCAGGGACTGCTGTATGTCAGGTCGCTTACATACATTATTCCATTTAATCTTAAATACAACCCTAAAGTACAGACTATTTTTATGCCCATTTTACAGATGAGGCAACTGAGACTCTGAGAGAGACTTTTAGTAAATGCGTCCAAAGTGACCCATCTGACATGATGCAAACCAAATGACACATATTCCAGAGGGGATTCAAATCCACGTTTGCCCTGGGCTCTTTTCATCAATGCATAAGGTTGAACTGTCTGAAGTTGACTTACAAAAATAATAACGACATGCAGTTCAACCTAATATTATGCTTTTAATAATCTCACCATCAATTTTCACGAACGTTTTCATGAACTTCCTTCTCGTCTTTTAAATTTAATTATTAATTATTTTTTAGAGGAAGTATGAGAGAGGAAGAGAGAGAAATATCAGTGTGAAAGAGAAACATTTATCCACTGCCTCTTGCACGATGCCTGCTGAGGATCAAATCCAAAACCCAGACACGAGGCCTGACTGTGTATCTAACAGGTGATTGATTACTCGGTGCATTGGACAGAGAGCTACACTCGCCAGGGCCCTTCTGGTCTTTTATACATCTTTTTATCTGATTGGGACATATTTTTCATATACTTTTATATCTTGTTTTGTTGTGTGTGTGTGTGTGTGTTTGTTTTTTACTTTCTTTACATATTAATCTGCTTTATGTTGTCTTAATTATATTATTATACTCGTAGAGGCTTCCTGACAATTTTTTTTTTAAATATATTTTATTGATTTTGTACAGAGGGGAAGGGAGAGAGATAGAGAGTTAGAAACATCGATGAGAGAGTCATCGATCAGCCGCCTCTTGCACACCCCCCACTGGGGATGTGCCTGCAACCAAGGTACATGCCCTTGACCGGAATCGAACCCGGGACCCTTCAGTCCCCAAGCCGACGCTCCATCCATTGAGCCAAACCGGTCTCGGCCTTCCTGACAATTTTAAGGGCTATGTAATGTTGCATGAGAATGTACTTCTCCTCATTGGACCATTGAATCACATTTGAGTTCTATGATAGCCCTGATGCAGCCCACCTTCAAGTGGAGGAGACAGAAAATGAGCAGAGAAACAAATATGTCTCCATACACATGGTTTCAGAGAGGTAAATGCTACAAAGGAAAACAGAATAAGGGGAAAGAGAGGGATGGAAGGTGCTATTTTATTAATATATTTTACTGATTTTTTTAGAGAGAGGAAGAGAAAGAGATAGAGTTAGAAACATCAATCAGCTGCTTCCTGCATACCTACTACTGGGGATGTGCCTGCAACCAAGGTACATGCCCTTGACCGGAATTGAACCTGGGACCCCTCAGTCAGCAGGCCGATGCTCTATCCACTGAGCTAAACCTGTCTCAGCAAAGATGCTATTTTAATAGGAAGGTCAATGAAGCCCTCTCTGCATCTGAAGGGGAGTGGAGTTTGCCCCCCAAAATATGCCTTTTTGGGATATTATTTTAAGATAATTTTAATAATTATCTTAATTTAAAAATTAAATTATGTTTTAGACACAGTAGACTCAACTGCCTAACAGAATGTAGAGGGCCTGCTACAGGAAGGAAGCTCCCAGCACAGAGAACTATGGTTTAATGAGACCTAGGTGTGACAGACAGGGACCTGGCCAGTCCCATTAGATCAAAGTCCTTTCTGTTTAAATTAAAGGCATTTGTTTACCAAGCAGTTAGTTTCTATCTCCATGTGAACTGCCTTCCTCCCCTTCGAAATCTCAAACCACTAACCCTCTTTTCTCCTTAGCTCAAGATGGCATAAACGTTAACTGCCCACTTTGTCCCTGGACACCCCTGGAGAGGCTCAGAGAGGTGACATCACTTACCCAGTTCACACTGCTGGTTCTCTGAAGCTGGAACCCAGGCTTGGAACACAGAGGGACCCATTCCCGAATTTGAGCACCATCACTGGGCTCCTCTGCCTCCAGCAGGGATGTTGAGACACCACGAATGGGTGTTTTTATATATTCTAGTTGGTAGCTTCCAAATCACTTTGGGGGAAATGTATAGTTCAATACAGAGACAAAGACATGTAGTCAAAAGCAAAAGAAGACAAAAAGCCCTATAGTTCAAGACAGTATGTATTATGAGGAAGATGTAAGTGAAGGGAAAGGATGCTTCTGGCTTTGAAGACGGGGAGGCTTCTCCAGACAGAAGGGTAGCACTTAAAACATGAGCAGAACTCAGACCATTTTGAGGAGAGAGAGCATTTAAGGGTAAAGGATCAGCAGATGCCAAGCGACAGAGGTGAGATGGTGTGGTATTCCGATCCCACTCACCCCCAATACTGATGCTCTGAATTCTCTCCCTCACTCACTGCTTTTCTCACACTACCCCTCTCCCTGGCTCATCCCACACATTTCTTTCTCTTTTTAAAAAAATAAATTTTATTGATTTTTTACAGAGAGGAAGAGAGGGATAGAGAGTTAGAAACATGGATGAGAGAGAATCATCGATCAACTGCCTCTTGCACACCCCCTGCTGGGTACATGCCCTTGACAGGAATCGAACCCAGGACCCTTCAGTCCACAAGCTGACACTCTATCCACTGAGCAAAACCGGTTTTGGCACACACATTACTGTTTTCAAATACATTTTCATTGATTTCAGAGAGGGAGAGGGAGAGATAGAAACATCACTGATGAGAGTCATTGATTGGCTGCCTCTTACGCGGCCCCTACTGGGGATCGAGCCTGCAACCTGGGCATGAGCCCTGACCGGGAATCAAACCGTGACCTCCTGATTCATAAGTCGACACTCAACCATCTGAGCCACACAGGTCAGGCACACACGTTTTTGTGGAATGAAGTGCCCTCTCTACATGCTGATGGCCTCCAAATCTGTACCCAGCACTGTCTTCTCCTTCAGTTTCAGCCTTTCACCTCTATCTGCTAGACATCTCCCACCTGATGTCTTGCAAAAATGGATGTGTAGGTTTTTTTTTAAAAAATCACGAAATAGAAAATATCAAAATGCATCATATGTAAAAACCCAAGTTTAATGAAGCAGTTGGTTGCCATGTACATTGTGGTTAAAAAAAAAAAAAAAAACACTTTAAAAAACACAGAAAGTAAGTAACAAGCTAAACATGATGACAAAGGGAGTGGGAGGAGCAGGGACATGTGCATGTGGGCAGCAAAGCCAGGGAAGTGAGAAGGAACTGGCTCCTGGGGAGGGAAGATGCCAACTTTCATTTTGAACACAGATTCTGGTTTTCAGTAAACCAGGCACAGTGGGCGCCTCTTTCCCTACCACTTCCACTTCTGGTCAAAGTAATTCTGAATGAATGCTCCAAGGAGTGAAGGTTTCCCCTCAAGCTCATTAATAACGGGCTCCCCGGCCCCAGCTGGTTTAGCTCAGTGGGCAGAGTGTTGGCCTTCGGACTGAAGGGTCCTGAGTTCAACTCCAGTCAAGGGTATATCCTCGGGTTGCAGGCTTGATCCCCAGCAGGGGGCCTGCAGGAAGCCACCCATCAATGATTCTCTCATCATTGATATTTCTATCCCTTCCTCTCTGAAATCAATAAAAATATTTAAAATAAAAATAATGGGCACCCCAGGAGAGATAATGCTTTAATGAGGAACTAACATTTATTGAACCCTTATTATAAGTCGTGTTCTCTACATCCAGTTTCTAACTAGAAGTCCCCTTAGTAGAACTGAGAGGCAGATACCTCTATGTCCATCTCACAAACGAGGAAGCAGAGGCTCGGAGAGGATGAGGACCTCAGGTTGTGCCGGTAGCAAGGGACTTGTTGCACCTTGAGAGCGGACCACATCACCTCGGAAAGCACCAATCACCGGGCTCCTTATTTGTTTCCCGTGGCTGCTGTAACAAATCGCCACGAACCTGCTGGCTTAAAATCAGGAATCTATTCTCTCCCAGCTCTGGAGGCTGGAAGTCTGAAGTAAAGGTGTCGGTAGGGTTGGTTCCTTCTGAGAGTGAATCTGTCCCACGCCTCTCCCCTACCTCGTGATGGCCTCGCTGGCTATCTTTGGCCTTCCTTGGTTTGTGTGTACATCACTTCAGTTTGTGGCTCCATCTTCACATGGCACTCATCTTTTCTTTTTTTAATCCTCGCCTGAGGATATTTTCCCATTGATTTTTAGAGAGAGGAAGAGAGAGGGAAAGACAGAGAGAAATACCGATGTGAGAGAAACACACCAATGGGTTGCCTCCTGCACCAGCCCCAACCAGGGCCTGGGCCCAGGAAGAGCTGCAACCGAGGTCTGGGCCCTTGCCCTTGACTAAAATCGAACCCAGGACCCTTCTGTCCACAGGTCAACATTATATCCACTGAGCCAAACCAGCTAGGGCTGATCACCTTCTTATAAGGACACCAGTCACAGTGAATTAGCCAGCCCCCACCCACACCCCAGTGTGACCTCATTTTTAATTTTAACTCATTACATCCGCAATGACCCTATTTGGAAATGAGGTCATGTTCTGAGGCACTGAGGAGTAAGACTTCCTCATCTCTTTTTTGAGAGATACAATTCAACTCCTAATACCTCATTCAGCGGTATAAGCCCTGAATGGAGTTTAAAAAAAACTGTTTCCTATTGATTTGGAGGATTTAGCACAAAAAGTTTACTTCATTTCTTTTTTTCTTTTTTTCTTTTTTTTTTTTTAACAGAATGAGTTTTTATTACTCAAAAAAGCTTCATTTTTAACTTTAGCTTTCTGACTCTGTGCTTGTGCCTTCAACACTTTCACGACGATTTTCTGCTCCTCAAGGAAAGCACGCTTGATCCTGTCACGGACAAAGTTAGCACATATGGATCCACCATAGGCCCTGCTGACGTGTTTTTTCGTTTTAGACAACCTCATTAGAACTTTAGGCCTCACATCACCAACTCCTTGAAGTCAGCCTGGGCACACACCCCACGCAGATTTGGGTGCTTTCTCAACCTTCTTGGTGTAAAGGTAAACAATTCTATTACCAGGGGTTCGGGACAGTCTAGTTTTGTTAGAGGCTGTATTGTAGGACATCCTCCGGCGGTATGTCAAACCCTGGACCATGGTGAATACCTGAAGTCACCGTCCCCGGAAGACAGCTACTTCATTTCTGGTTAGATTCCTACGTTCCGAGAAACTGGCTGGATTGGTAGAATTCCCATGAGTAGTCCTTGTGAGCACTTACAATCCCTCACATCTCACCGCCTCCTGGACAATATCTACCCAGCATTGGTGTCTCATAAAAACACAAATTCAGCCGAAACCGGTTTGGCTCAGTGGATAGAGCGTCAGACTGCGTACTAAAGGGACTCAGGTTCGATTCCAGCCAAGGGCATGTACCCTGGTTGCGGGCACATCCCCAGGGGAGGGCGTGCAAGAGGTTTCTAACTCTATCCCTCTCTCCTTCTCTGTAAAAACTCAATAAAAACATATTTTTTAACACACACACACACACACAAATGCACTAACTTTGCCTCCAAAAACCACCTTCCTCCTGACGTCCCTGTTTTTCACAAAACTAGCTAAAGTCTCCTCATTTCCTAGAAAGGACCCTCTCCATTCTCCTTTATGTCTCCCAAGTTCAGATCCTCAGGGTTGCCTGTCCTTTGGGAAATTACACCAGCCTCCCAGCTCCTTCCCTGGCTCCCACCTCTTCCCCTCCAGTCCAGCCTCACTTAGACACGGCATTTTCTAGAAACACACCTCCCGCCAGACTCCACTCAAACCTCGGTGGCTTCCAGTTACCCGGTGGCGCCTCACCCTGCCTGCAAGCACCTTTGGCGCCTCCCCTGCTCCCTTCTCCTCCCGTTCCCGGAGGCGGTGAGGTAAGTCCGCGGAACCGCAAGGCTCGGATCCCGGGCAGAGCTCCTGCGGGCGACCGCCTGCGGCCCCGCGGCCCCGCCCCGCGGCCCCGCCCGCGGCCCCGCCCCTCGCTCAGGGCCCACACCTGGGCGGGTCCGGAACGCGTCCGGAATCTTCTCGTGGAAAGGCCGGGCTCTTTTGGGGGCAGCGCGCCGGAACCGGAAGTCAGTGGAGGAAGATTGAAGTGTGGGGACGTGCTCGTTAGGTTCGGAAAATGAACGTCCCTAGTGTCCTCACGACGGGAGGTAGGGTCCCTGCAGTGCCGGGCTAACTTCTCGTCCGCCCCGGGCCCAGATCCAGGTCTCCTCGTGGAGCCCCCGCTGCGCTGACGGCGCCATCGAGCTCCTCTGGGTTAAGGGGCCGCGAGCGGCTCCTTCCCCGACTGGGCGATCGGCGGGGGCACGGGGGCTCGATGAGGAGGGGGCGGGGGAGAGGAAAGGCGGGGCGCAGAGCCGTAACAGCCACCCGCTCGCCCCTGGCTGCATTGCTCTCCTGTGGCCGCGAGATCAGCGTGACTTCCCATTGGTTTTACAAAAGTGTTCCTTACGTGGGTTTTCTTCTGCTTGCAGAACCGTAAACATGGTAGAAATGTTGAAAAGTGTGCAGAAGGAAGTAAAAACCGCTCTTAAATCTACCACTCCGCTAAAATATTTTATTTGGTCCCACCGGGTAAGAAAAACACTGGTGAAAATGGAGGGAAAATACATTTCCATAACGAGACATTAATTACAAAGAGACTCCTCTCAAGTTACAAATGTCAAAAATGTTAAGTAGTCGAAATTATTGTTTTAAACCCATGCTTCTTGATGGGCATAAGATAAGATTCCTAGGTAGTAAAACTTAAGACATCGCCATAAAAGTCAGAAGCTGTCTCTTGTGAGTAAAAAACAAAAAGTGCTATTAGTTAATTATATGTAGATACCATTTTTAAACAACTCATTTTAATAGTGATTCTACAGGAGAACGTAAGCTGGTCCTCTAGTACTTAAATTATGGGAAAGTCTGTGCCACTTTGCAAAGGTTCTGGTGAAGCTTCAGCTAACACTGAGGCAGTAGGACAACCCAACTTACATTTTGCTAAATTTTCCTTTTAGGGTGGTGGAGATTTTTCCCAGTACCATTAGGATGGTCCTCGTTCCAGGCCCTACATAATTCCTGCTGTCGGAAAAAATCCACTGCTCCCAAGAAAAGTACTCCCAGCGTTGCTTTTTGTGACAAAACGACCAATGAGGCTGGGAAGGCACTTGACAAGCTCTTCTCTTCGGAACAGCAGGCTTCCATATTGCATGTGTTGAATACAGCATCTAATAACGAACTTGAAGCTTTCAAATCACTTCGTGGAAGAAAGTCCATCAATCTTGTAGAGCACAGAAAAAAGTTTGGGCCATTTCAGAACTTGGAGAGTTTAATGGATGTGCCCTTGTTCCAGTATAAAACTACCGTTCAGATTTGTAACTCCATTCTTTGTCCAGAGACTAGAGTGAGAAAAAGAAAGTCACAGGAAAACCGGCTCTTGAGAAAGCTCATCAAACCAGAAATAGAAAGAGAGAGACTTAAGGTATACCCTTTTTTATTAACGTCGATTATACTGCCTAAATATTGTGAACCTACTTTGCAAAGAACTATTCTGGGCATGAAGACAGGGCTCTCGGGCAGCTTGTAGTTCAGTTGGTGGGCCCAGCAATACATATATTAATAGATAACCCACGGTACAAAGTAGCATGTGATCAATACCAAGGTGAGATATACAGGTAGTATGTGAGCCATTCAGAAGAGAGAACTGTGGGCTGCAACTGTTGGGGAAAGTTTACTGGGAGAACTCAACTGTATCTGAGGGAGAGAGGCTAGTGGGAAGAGGAGGGCATTCTAGATGCAAAACAGTGATGTAGAAGTAGGTCTGTGCAAAGTTTACTTACAAGGAATGTTGAGATGTCTGGCTGTGTCTGACAGTTATGTTAGGAGTAATCAGAAATTAAGATGCAAAGATGAGCTACGCCAAAGAGTGACTTTAGAACATCTCTCCAGCAGCATTTAATGTTATTTTCTTCCCCCCTTTAAAAAAAAATAAAAATAAAAATGTTTTTTATTGATTTTAAAGAGGGGGAGGGAGAGAGAAACATCAGTCGGTGTCCTTATATACGCCCCCTACTGGGGATCAAGCTCACAACCCAGGCCTGTGCCCTAACCGGGAATCAAACCAGCAACCTTTTGGTGTATGGGACAATGCTCAACCAACTGAGCCACACGAGCCAGGGTAGAAGGCCTGTATTTTGTAGCTATTTGGGCTTCCAAACTATTTTTGCCTTTATTTTGTAATCCTCACCAAATTTTTCTGCCTTGAATGCATATTTACCCATTCTTTAGCAGTAAGAGGGAGGTAAATATAGAATTACAAAATGTTCCTGCTTATCTCTGTATCTATAGGTCATGCCAATGTATACTGTCTGTGTTACTACCATAAATGAGCTATTTGGGAGTGAGGTGAAACCCAGACTTGGCACAGAGCCAAATCCATATATCCGGTTTTCTATTACACATGTCCTCTTAGAAGGCACCCTGAACTCAATACATTAAAAAACAACTCATCTCCCCCAACCTTCCCAAGTTGGCCCACCTCCTAAGACCATCTTGATTAATGATGCCATATACAATTGAAATACAATTGGAGTTACTGAAATACAATTGGAGTTATCCTAGGCCCCTTGATCATCTTGCATAACAATTTTACTCCCATTATCTCTGATTTCTTTCTTGTCCTTCTCATTGTCACTGTCTTAGATTCTTAATACTTTGTCATATGACAGGTAGGTACTAACACAAATCCCTACCTCTAGTCTATCTCTTCTAGTCCATCTTCCACACAGCTGTCCGTGATCTTTCTGAAATGTAAATCTGTTACTCCTGAATGGTATATGCTTTACTGGTTCTCTGTGGCTCTCGGTTAAAGCAAGTTATTTTTTGCAGAAGTCTGTGGCCCCCTCTGCCCTTTTCCCACTTGTACTCTTTAATCTGCTGGCTGAGTCTGAGGTGTCAAACTAAGCGGACATCTCGGTGAAATAACTTCCCACTTAGCATTTTACTCGTTCTCCTAGTCCTCCAGTAAGTCTTTCTTGACCACTTCTTTTCTCTGGAGTGTAGTGATGGCGTTTCTTACCATGTATGGCTGTGTTCCTACCGTGTTTCCCCGAAAATAAGAAATCCTCCGAAAATAAGACCTAGCGCATGGAAAGATAAGACATCCCCTGAAAATTAAGACCTAGCGCAAATTTGGGAGAAAAAAAATTAATATAAAACACTGTCTTATTTTCGGGGAAACGGTAGTTTCCCAGCATCTAGCAGTCCCCAGCAACATTTGAATGCCTACGTTGAGCTATGTGCTGAGAAATGACTGCTACTAGTTACCTTTTAATTACTCCTGCATGTCTTTAACAATTCTGTTTATAAACAATAAATATATTTGTATTATGTAAGCTAACTTGGCTTTCTGAGTTTGTAGCTTAAATTTTGTATCTGTTAAAATGTTTACACTTGTCATGAAACCAGCCTTTTTGTTTTAGGCGGTAAACAGTATCGTATCCATCGTTTTTGGTACTCGGAGAATTGCCTGGGCTCACCTGGACCGTAAACTGACAGTGCTGGACTGGCAGCATAAAGAGTGCTGTCACTTGGTGAGAGGAACATACACATCATCTGTCTATTTAGAAGAGGTAAGGCAGTAACACGTCCCAATTCCCACCCTGTACAGTTGAATCTACTGGTCCTGAAAAGAATCTAATAAAATAGTAAGAAGAGATTCTTTTTTGGTACTTATTACTCACCATTCCAGTTGTTTTCCATCATCAGTGACTTTTTAAAAATTTAATATTTCTTCATTTTTTTTTTTTCAAGAAATGTGTATGTCAAAGGCAGATCCTGGGGGGGAAAAACAATGCTAAAGTTGATTCTAAAGGTTATAGAATTTCATCACTATATTTGGAAAGCTTATTTTTTAAATACTAACATTATGTCATTTGAGTCTGAAAGTTTGTGAGATGGGCAGTAATTATCATCCTGATTACAACATTGAACTGTTTCGATCAAGCACCCGATGCAGCCAGTCTGTTGTCAGGGTGATTGATTCTAGGCTAATTATTCTAACCCTATGCTGTACTGTAGAAGTTTTTAAAAGATTAATAAAACAGTTTTAACTAATCTTAGAGTCAAGATAGATTTTAGAAATTATGAGCCCATTTTACAGATGAGGGAAGTAGTACTTAGGACTAAATGGTTTGTCTTAGCTTATCTGGTGCCCGATAGAACCATAACCAAAATTTGGCTGTTCTGATTCTCCCATAAAATGCTTTTTCAATTACTTCAAAATTGTCAGTAGCAAAATAGTGTAAGTTATG